TGGGGAACATCTTGCAGCTGAAGACCACCTTCCTCAGTAAGACTCTCCAACAGGTGAGCAGCAGGAGGAAGGCCTCCCACTGCCAGGCTCTCTAAGTCTAGGGGGTTGTGTTTTCATGGCTGGCTCTTGTTTCCTGGTTCTCCATGTTTGTTTTGTTCAGCAGCTGAAACAAGCCCGAGTGAAGTTAGTTTGCAGACAGACCATGACACCAAGGAGCTTACAGAGCAGAGAGCAGGAGAATCAAAAGGGAGAAAAGGCAGGGAGGATGGGGGGCATAGAAAGGCTGGGTTTGAAAGAAGCACCAAAGAATGCAAAATGATGCTAGAAGTTTTCCTTTAACACATCTTCTGCATCTGGTTATTGCCCAGACAGCCGTGCAAAAAGAATGTAGACTTGATTGCCCAAACTTGATTTTTCATGAGAAAAATTTTCCAAAGAGGTCACTCTGTTAGCCTCTTTCAGCAAAAACAAAAGACAAACTGAGACAAAAGCCTTGGGGAACCTCTGAACCCCCAAATTGTGTTCCTTCTGGACAAAAATCCATTTCAGGAACATCGTGGCAAAGTGGTCAACGATCCAACTGAATCCTTGGCAATTGCTGAATATATTTGTGTCTCTCCATAAGAAGACAGCCGGGCAGGCTCTTCTGATTTTAGACGCCCGTCGGGTTGTGCTGCCTCCAAACCAGTTTCCCAGATTCTTCACTCTAGAGATTCTTCTCTTTCCTTCGTTTCCTCTCCTCTTTTGCATAATCAGCTGTAACAATTTGTGAGAGAGAGATACAGAGAAGGAAAACTGATATGCGTGGAACACCTTTGCCAAATGCTCTTTTATTTCCTAGTATTGCTTCCCAAACCTGATGATGTGGGTTTTTTTTAAAGTGATACCCACGTACCTCTGCTCACTAAGACACACTTAGCTTCTTATTTATTTAAAACTGTGTTCATAGGTCCTGAACACAGTTTTGGGTTCTGCTATTCCAACCCTGCATGCGTGCGCGCGCGCGCACACACACACACTCCTACACACACACACACACACTGGAGGCAAAAAGGAAGAACCTGGGAACTACAGACCAGTCAGCCTGACATCAAGTCAAGGGGAAAAAATCTGGTACAGATTATAAAGCAGGCGTTATGCAAAGATCTAGAAAAGAAGGCAGCAATAACTAGAAGCCAATATGGATTTGCAAAGAACAAATCCTTCCAGACTATTCTGATCTCATGTTTTGATCAGGTCACTTCCCTAATAGACAAAGGGAATGTCGCAGACGTAGTGTATCTTGACTGCAGCAAAACTTTTGACAAAGTGCCCCATGACATCCTGATGAGCAACCTAACTAGGTGTGGGCTGGATAGATCAAGTGTCAGGTGAATCGGGCCTTCTCGGCGGTGGCTCCTCGCCTCTGGAACAACTTATCTCCTGAGATTCGCGCGGCTCCCTCGCTGGGAAGTTTTAAGAAACAACTGAAAACATGGATGTTTAGGCAGGCCTTCCCCCCTTCCAGTTAATTCTTAATTTTTCTTCCCTTTTTATCTATTATAATTTATCTTGTTCTTTCGCCATCTTGGAGAAAAAAAATTCTTTCTTTTTTCTAATTATGTTAATTATGTTATATATATGCTTGTTTTATATGTTATGCTGTAAGCCACCCAGAGTGTTCGCGATGAACAGATAGGCAGTGAATGAATGAATGAATGAATGAATGAATGAATGAATGAATAAATAAATAGTGGCAACAAGCAAAAGCACTGCCTGAAAATCACAATGGTGACTCTAATTACCAGATGAAATCAAGTGAATGTAACAAAGCAACAGGATTTGTCATGACGCAAGATGGGGTGAAACAGCTAACATCCCAAATCACACTTTAAGAAGGATGCTAATAAATTGAAACGAATTCCACATATTGAGGTTCAAACCAAAGGGTGATTGAGGTCCTATTAATCAGTACCCCATCATCTGTTGAATGGAAATGAATGGACCACCTTCTGGTCACCAACATTAGGGCTGGTTTTTGACTAAGTGCAGGCATAACTTTCCCTGGTCTTTCTCTAGCTCAGTGAGAAGTACGGCCCCGTGTTCACCGTGTATTTCGGAGGGGACCCTGTCGTGGTTCTCCATGGCTATGATGTCATTAAAGAAGCCCTTAACAGCATCATCTTTCAAGCTTTTAAATAGTTCAACTGGAATGCCATCACCTCCACTGGCCTTGTTGTTAGCCAGGCTTTCTAAGGCCCACTTGACTTCGCTCTCCAGGATGTCTGGCTCAAGGTCAGCAACTACATTGTCTGGGTTGTCCGGGATATCCAACTCTTTCTGATATAATTCCTCTGTGTATTCTTGCCACCTCTTCTTGACGTCTTCTGCTTCTGTTAGGTCCCTTCCATTTTTGTCTTTTATCATGTTCATCTTTGCGCAAAATGTTCCTCTATTATGTCCAATTTTCCTGAACAGATCTCTGGTCTTTCCTTTTCTGTTATCTTCCTCTATTTCTTTGCATTGTTCATTTAAGAAGGCCCTCTTGTCTCTCCTTGCTATTCTTTGGAAGTCTGCATTCAAGTTTCTGTAACTTTCCCTATCTCCCTTGCATTTTGCTTCCCTTCTCCTCTCTGCTATTTCTAAGGCCTCGTTGGACAGCCACTTTGCTTTCTTGCATTTCCTTTTCTTTGGGATGGTTTTTGTTGCTGCCTCCTGGACAATGTTACGAGCCTCTATCCAAATTTGCAGATGATACCAAATTGGGCAGAACAGATAATACCCTAGAAGACAGAAACAAAATTCAAAATGACCTTGATAGGAAGGATCACTGGGCCGAAAGCAACAGAATGAAACTCAACAGGGAGACCTGAGAAGTCCTGAACCTCAGAAAAAGGACACCATTTGCACATTTATAAGATTCGGGATACCTAGCTCAGCAAAACTACGAGCGAGAAGGATCTTGGAATTTTTGTAGATCACAAGTTGAATATGAGCCAACAGTGTGATGTGGCTACAAAAAAGGGCAAATGCTATTTTAGGCTGCATTAATAGAAGTATAATTTTAAAATCTTGTGAGGTGTTAGTCCCCCTCAATTCAGCATTGGTTAGGCCTCACCTTGAGTCTTGTGTCCGTTTCTGAACACCACACTTCAAGAAGGATGCTACCAAATTGGAACAAGCTCAGAGGAGGGTGACAAGGCTAATCAGGGAGCTAGAAACCAAGCCTTTTGAGGAAAGGCTGAAAGAACTGGGCATGTTTAGCCTTGAGAAAAGAAGGTGGAGGGGTGATAGAATAGCACTTCTCAAATATTAGAAAGGCTGTCATCCAGAGGAGGGGCAAGATCTGTTCTCAATCATCCTAGAGTGCAAGACATGCAACAAAGGAAGCCAAACTTCTCAGAAAAAAGTTCGTAACTGTTAGAGCAGTACAACAGTGGAACCAGTGACCTTGGGAGTGGGTGAGTGCTCTAACACTGGAGGCATTCAAGAAAAACCTACATAATCACCTGGCAGATATGCTTTGATTGTATTCCTGCGTTGAGCAGGGGGTTGGACTTGATGGCCTTGTAGGCCCCTTCCAACTTCACTTTCTATGAATCTTATTCACTCATTTTCTTCTAAAAATAATGCATTCTAAGACTGAAAAGATTTGAATAAGACTGTCAAATCATGGCAAAAGAAAAGCACAAACAAATGGCAATACCCAGATTGTACCAAAAAGATCCACCAAGGTTGAAACTTATTCAGTTCTTTAAAAACCTCTGGTTTATGAATGCAGTATATTGTTTTTCTGTACCCATGATTCAAAATGCCACTAAATGGCATAATCCTGCTGCAAAATACCATGCCCATGTTGCCAGCAAGAAAAAGGATGCCAAGTTTTTTATAGCTAAGGGCAACATGAATGTTGACAAGGCCAATGGCAGCAGTCAAGATGGTCTACAGGATCCCTTCTTATGCTTGCTGCCATTCGTAAAGAGACAACATGCAAGGGAAAATCCCAACATCTGGCCTCTTTTTCAGTTAAACATTTCTCATCCAAAGACAAAGCTATTGAGAAGGATCTGGAAGTTGAGTCATGGCAACCGGACTTCGTTCTTATTAGGTTGAAATGTTTCACTACTCATCCAAGTAGCTTCTTCAGTCTGAGGAGAGTTAGTAGGAGACCCTGGATATATCCTACCCATTTGTTCCACTTCCCCCTGGTCTGAATATGCTTGTTAGATGAACAAAGGATGGGGAGTGACTGAAAATCTCATCTCTGCAGTCCTTCTGCACCCATTGTCATGGGTCATTAACAGTCCTTATTAACAGTGGTCTTTTTGGTATGTGGTCCTGATTGTTCTGGGGACGGATGAAAGGAGACAAATCGTACCTAAGGCTGTGAGGGTTTAGGTTGAGAATCATGTCTGCTCTCTTCCTCCTGGGGTTTTACTTCCTCAGACATGGTGACAAATTCAAGTTCTAACGTATTAACATTTATTTTAGGAACATCAATAAAACTGTTTGTATAAAAATGAACATTTTCTCTCTCCTTTCCTTCCAATGGGACTGAGAAGGGGTTCCATTCTTCTTTAACAGATTCCCATAACTAATGTTCCAAGGTCCTGGTTGATGGACCAGGTGCCAGTCTTTTATTGTATTCCCCATCAATAACGGCGATAAGGGCACGGTGTCTCCCATGTATTCTTCCCGCCTCGCTATTTCCCCAGGTTCCATGAACTTCCAGGTTTCCAAATCCCTATCTTCTTCCTCACCTCCCATGCTCACCATTCCATTTTTTTCTCTCTCCTCCTGTTCTGCCCTACCTTTTCCTCTCTCAGTTTGTGCCTGAGGGGTGTTGTGAGAGAGGCTTCTACATCTAGATGATCAGTCACACTCATGAATTAACTGGCTGTTGAATGGATTGCAGACGTGTAAGGAGAGAGGTGGCTTTGACTTCCCATTTCAGATCTGAGCTTCTGCAGGTTCAGAGGATAGAGGTCTCTCCATTTTTCTCTCTTCTGCATCAGAGATCTTCGTTTTCTTTGCTGAAGCATGGTACCAGCTGAACTTGATCTTTGCCCTTGGTTTTGAATCTGGACGCTTCTGATGTTTCAAACACAAAATCATGATTCATAAATAACTAGCATAAAGAAAATGGCTGAGAAAAGAATTAACAATATTTGCAGCGCCATTCATCTTGATGTATGGCAGCAGCAGAGCAAATACAGAAAGGATTCTGGGATGTCAACTAACACTGGCAAACACCTAGATATGGCTTGTGTATTTATGCAAACGGAAAGATTGGTCCACCCAATCAAAAGCAGCACTGTGGGAGACAGGAGAGGGACGCAGGTCAAAATAGGTAAGGAAGTGGTAAAAGAACACCCAGCTGCTTTGAATGAGTTCACGTCTCCTGGACCAGATGGTTTAGATCCCAGGGTACTAAAAGAACTGGCCGATGTGATCTTGGAACCACTGAATGAAATATTTGAAGGTCCTGGAGCAAAGGGCAAATGGCCAGAGGACTGGAAAAAAGCTGATGTGGTTCCAATCCTCAGAGAGAGGGAAAAAGTAGATTCAGGAAACTATGGACCAATCAGGTTGACATCAATACCTGGGAAAGTCCTGGAAAAAATAATCAAGTAGCAGATTTGTGAGCATCTAGAAAACAACAAGGTGATTACTAGAAGCCAGCATGGCTGTGTTAAGAACAGGTCATGGCAAACAAATCTTCTTACCTTCTTTGATAAAGTGAATGAATCAGTGGACCAAGGCAACGCAGACGATACAGTCTACTTAGACGTCAGTAAGGCATTTGATAAAGTAGACCACAACCTGCTTCTGCATAAGATAGAACCAAGTGGGGTAGACAGTGTAGCTACCAGATGGATTTACAGCTGGCTAACCAACTGCACTCAATGTGTGGTCCTCAGTAGAACCACATCTACGTGGAGGGAAGTGTGCCGTGGAGTCCCTCAAGGTTCTATCTTGGGCCCAGTGCTATTTAACATCTTCATAAATGACCTGGGTGAGGGGACTGAAGGAACAACCCTACAGTGATTCTATGATTCTATGTAGACACATAGGTGTAGCCAAAATGTTTTGGCCCACCTAGGCCTAGCTGCCCAAGCCTCTGGTTGAGAAAGGCCTTTCTCCTACATGAGCCAAAGTCAAGGTATCTGTCCACTTGGTACAACCCCCAGAATGAAGAATTCTGGGATCTGTAGTCCAAAATTTTTCAATGGCAAATCCCCATCAATAAGAATTTCCCTTTTGGGATAGGATTTTCTTTTAAAGAGATTATACAATATTCGGTCCCAGAAGCCCCCTAGAATTCTACTGGGAGACCTCCAGGACTGGGTGAGAAGAAGGGGAAAGAGAGGTCTTTCTACCTCCATATTGGGCTTGTCCCCTCCTTTGTATGGCTTCCTGGGAATTGCCCCAGAGGTCTTTGTTACGGTTTTGGTGACAGTAGAAAATGCAGAGTTATTCTTTTGTTGCAAGACGGTTGTATTTACAAGTATTCACAGTTATATACAGGCAGGTATCTTAACAGCACAGCAGGAACTCTTTGTACAGTCTGACAGCATGCGTGGCAGCAAGTGATAGTGGAGGAAGAGAGAGAAGCAAAGACACAATCCACTTATATACATGTACATGGCTCATTCAGTCCAATCAGAATACAGATGACTTCATCCTCTTGCACCTGGTCTTCTTCTGATTTCAAGTCATTGCATCAGCTCCAGAGTGATTCAGCATTCTCACATCTGTGCACAATGGCAGCTCGTTAATGAAACACATATACAGGTTCAGGCTTATAAAATTTCTATATTCTGACAGTCTTGGGGTAAGGTAGCCTCACTACCCATAAGATTATGGGTGGGGGAGAGTAAAAACTACCTTTCTTTTGCTTCCCATCCAAACAACATGGAGTGAAGCAGATAATGGCGGCAGGAGGCTCCGGGTTTTGCCATCCAGTTGGTCTTCTTCCAGTCCCCAAAGTCTGCCTGTTGTGTTTACGTGCTTTTTGGGACCGGAACCCCCCGAATTATGAATTACACACAAACCCATTTCCCTTTGAGACTACAAGCTTACAAGCTGTCAAAGACTGGTCATCCCTCGGATCCATCAGCCTAGTAAAAAATGTGAACTGAGTGTGTACCAGCTAGGAGAGCCTCACTGCCCATAAGACTCTATATGGCACTGGTTGCCAGCCTTGGGTTCACCGGATGTCCAGGTTTTCCCCAGCTGGTTCTTTTAGGATCCAGAATGGGACCCTCCCACTCTCCCATGCTCTTCCCCTGATCCTCTCTTGCTTCTCTTCCTCTTCTTTTGCTGTTGCTCAGTTCAGCCCTGGCTTTCTTTTATGTCTGTGTGGTCTCTCTTCCCACGTCCCCTTCCTCTTCCAGGGATTATCTTCAGCAATGGGGAAAGATGGAAAGTGCTCCGGCGCTTTGCCCTCACCACCCTGCGCAACTTTGGGATGGGGAAGAAGAGCATCGAGGAGAGGATCCAGGAGGAAGCCCGGTATCTGCTGGAAAAGCTCCGGGACACCAAAGGTAGGTCAGGACCATCCATCTCTCCTCCGTCCACAGGCTTCTTTTGGGTAACAAGCTTCTGAAGGCACACCTAGCCCCCAGATCAAGAGCTAATCCATAAGGAACTGGAGATTAGCACACCATCAAGATTAACACCAGCTGAGTTGGCAGGAACAACTACTAGGATTTTGGGAAGGGACTCATGTGTCTGTACAGCTGGAACGGACTTCAAGAGTCATCAAGGCAAAGTCCCTGCCAAGGTAGGAACGGCAGCAAGATCCATAACATTGGAAGTTGGAAACGTTCCCTTTTTTAAAGATTGCAGCTTCTGTAAAATCTCAAGCAGTATTCACTCCCCTGGCATCACAGCTTTAGAGGTAACTTTTGCAGCTTTTGTGCCATTAACCACTGGAGGAAGGCTTCTTAGCCTATACGGCCTTGGTGAAATCATGTGGATGGCTTCATTTCCTGTCCGCATCACAGTGTTTATACCATATCAGGGGCCAAGACCATGCGCTGATCTCCCAATCCATAAGGGGTGGAGACTCATTGACTGAAATCCCACTGAGAGAAGGCCTGGATGGCACTGGCCGGGGAAGACAATTAAGGAGCTCCTGCTTTGATTCCAGGGTTCACACCACTTGTTTGTTTGTTTGTTTGTTTGTTTGTTTGTTTGTTTGTTTGTTTGTTTGTTTGTTTGTTTGTTTGTTTGTTTGTTTGTTTGTTTGTTTGTTTGTTTGTTTGTTTGTTTGTTTGTTTGTTTGTTTGTTTGTTTGTTTGTTTGTTTGTTTGTTTGTTTGTTTGTTTGTTTGTTTGTTTGTTTGTTTGTTTGTTTGTTTGTTTGTTTGTTTGTTTGTTTGTTTGTTTGTTTGTTTGTTTGTTTGTTTGTTTGTTTGTTTGTTTGTTTGTTTGTTTGTTTGTTTGTTTGTTTGTTTGTTTGTTTGTTTGTTTGTTTGTTTGTTTGTTTGTTTGTTTGTTTGTTTGTTTGTTTGTTTGTTTGTTTGTTTGTTTGTTTGTTTGTTTGTTTGTTTGTTTGTTTGTTTGTTTGTTTGTTTGTTTGTTTGTTTGTTTGTTTGTTTGTTTGTTTGTTTGTTTGTTTGTTTGTTTGTTTGTTTGTTTGTTTGTTTGTTTGTTTGTTTGTTTGTTTGTTTGTTTGTTTGTTTGTTTGTTTGTTTGTTTGTTTGTTTGTTTGTTTGTTTGTTTGTTTGTTTGTTTGTTTGTATCCCGCCTATCTGGTCAGGCGAGGACCACTCTAGGACCACTTGCCAGGAAATCTGCCCACCAACTCCTTGTGGGTGAGTTGGGTGATCCCTGAGAATCTAGCGAGATCATGCTATGTCCCAGAGATCTCCCCCCTCACCCTGATAGTGATATCACCTGCAGCCACTGGTTCCAGGCAATGACAAGTTGCTTGGTTTGATCTCGGGACTTGCCTGGCTCACTTGCAATGAGACTGCTTGGGGCAGGCTTCCCCTGACGGCCACCTCATCGCCCTTACACAGAGGTGCTCTCACTCTGAGCAGTCAGAAAATGGTGATGCAGAAACCTTGTCCAGGCTGTTCTGACGAAAGGGGAAGCCCAACACTCTCCCCTTCACGGTCCTCACTGTGATGGGGCTGCAAAGAAGCCATTTGTGCTTCTATGGAGGCTCTTGCTCATGTGGAGAGCCTGGGCACAAGCAAGGAGCCTCTCCTCTGCTCTCCCATCAGATCATGGATGGTGCAAGGTGAGCAGCTCTGTCTTCAGCTACCTCTGTCACTGTTGCTATTGGGATGAGCATGATTGATAACATTGTTAGAGGAGTCTTTTTGCACTTCCAGGAAAGCCCTTCGACCCCACCTTCCTGCT